CCCCCCCAGACAAAAAAAAAAAAAAAAAAAAAAAAAATTCCTTACTGCCCACCAAAGTTACAAGTTATTCACCACAAATCACAATGACACCCACCTCTGCTCTCAACATGGCCTTCTGTGCTCCCTGAGAGAGGAACAAAGCTGGAGTAAAATGCAGCTGGCTCTAAGCTATTTGAGCCTCTTGGAGGAAAAGACCAACTGATGGCTGTCCCTAGCAATACCAAGGACAGTACCTGGCACCTAAGTGTTCAGTAACTCTTTCCTTAATTGAGACAGCAAAATAGTGAGGAAAGATGATAAAGAAGAGAAGGTCCTCTAAAACCCAAACCAGTAATGTATGAAGATTTGTAAGCTGGCATTGGGTGCAAATTTACAAGCCAGCACTGTCTTACTGTCCAGAGTCTTAGGTACTCAATACAGAAACAGGAGCTAAATGATGGCTACAGAGCTATTTTGACTGAGATACTCCTAATAGGCTTCAGAAAGGTTGCTCTAGCAACCCGCAAGTCAAATTTGCCAATATCTGGTTTCTTTCCCAAAGGACATTATGCTTATTTCAGGGTTTACTATTCCTTTCCAAAACCAACTCACTGGCTAATTCTGTTTATTGAGCTTACAGGTGAAAGAAAACTCTTCCTGAAAAAGGAACAAAGTTAAGATCCAATGATCTGACCAGTAGTACTTCAAGTACCAAAGGAAAAAATCACTTCCCGGGAATGTGAAGAAAAGCAGGGCTTAATGAGACATGTATAATAGAAAGACTGCCAGGCAATCCGGCAGTGGTCCAGTCATTTCCAGCTAAAGTCAAAAAAGGCAATTCAGGTGTGGCATTAATTTGGACACCCCATGATGTGGTTGTCCTATCAGCTAATAAGCACCCAGAATTTGACATGATTAAGTTAATGGTGACGACAAAAAAAGCCAAGAAATTGGGGTTTTAGTCCTCACTCTCATAAGTAGCTATGGGGTTTTGGACAAGACTGTGTTTCTGAAAAATGGAGAAATATGCCCCGCCTTTATCACAGAAAGTGTGATAACAGAATGAAACAATGTGTTTGTTAACAATTTCAGATGTTAACAGCTGGAACTCTCAAATCACACAAGTCATGAAATGAGACATATATCCTTCACATAAACAGCCCGTAAATGTTAATGACTCTTACTATGTCATTATTATTGCATAGCTGATAAAAAGTGGAGCTGGGCTTGAAACTCTAAAGGTTGCTTTCTATATACTACAGTGTCCAGCAGACCATGAAAAAGCATCACGTAAGCCTGAAGCTCTCAGCTCTGTTCATCTTGGGGCAGGAAGCAGGGATGGCATGTTTACAGGTTTGGAAATGAACATGAATGTGGCAGAGGGAAGACAATACTCAGTGAAAACTTTTAAATGGAGATCCTTTCAGATGGGGAATAAGAAGAGAGAAGATTAAAAACTTTAACCTATATGCTCAACTGAGTTCCTTTTTTCTTAAAAGAATGCAGCTGCAATCCACCCTGAAATAAGAGAATGTGAGCTTAAGTAGGTGTGACTGAATCACCCAACTGTGGGCACACAAGGTGTGGACATGATTGGGGGGTGGGGAGTAAGTGATGCATCTGAAATTTTAAAAGTATTCAAACCTTCTAGGAAAAAAACCCCAGTCTTTTCCATAATGAAATATGCCTTTGGCATCAGCAAAATGGTCAATCAATATCATATTATTTACATGTCTTTGTCCTTCTATCTCCTCCACTGACCAGGTGCACAGATGCTTAAGGGGACAGGAAGAAGAAAGGAGAAATTAACGCAACGACATAAGAAATGCCCCACCTCCTCCCACCCTGGTCTAGCTCATCAGTGCTGGTTTGGCTTTCCTCTACTCACAGCAAATCTGACAATGGAGTGCACCTCACTTCTCCCATTTTCATAAGAAGTCTAAGCATTTTTCCTGGAGGCCTCCACTGTGTTCACTTCTCAAATCAGAAATACAGATTGTTTTCAATCTGTAAGACAGTTCACTATAGGGACTTCCTTGGCCGTCCAGTGGTTAGGACTCTGGGCTTCCACTGCAGGGGGCACAGATTCGATCCCTGATCAGGGAACTAAGATCCCGCATGCCGCGTGGCAAAGCCAGAAAAAAAAAAGATAGTTCACTCTTTGCCATAAAACAACACCATCCGTACACATACAAATTGTGATATCTTGTTAAGAGTCATCACATATGTAAGAGATCAAAGGTTTTTTTGTAAACTCTAAACAAAACATGTGAATTTTTATGAGAAACCTGATAAACTTACTCTGTAATTTATGTGGAAGACTAAAAGTCCAGAAAGAGCTAAGTTAACTTTTAAAAAGTAGGAAGAGATTATTTGGCCTACCAAATACTATGATATACTACAAAACAATATCATAAAATAAGGAAAGTAAAATATAGAATATCTTTATTATTTAGCATAGGGAA